GTGATATTTTTTCAGCACCTTTGTTTCCTTAGCTTGAATTGGTGTCCTTGTTCGTGATGTTGCTGGTTTCAGGAATTCCTCTTTGTCAATTTGGTCAATTTCTCTTAGTATTTTGTAAGTGATGATCATATAACCACTTTTTCTGCTATCTTCTAGTTTTAGCATATTTAACGCCTCTGGTCTCTCCTCGTAGCTGTTGTTTTTTCAGTTTCATGCCATTTTATAGCATGCCATTACACCTTTTCCAGTTTATGTGCTTCTTGAGATTTGGGCACTATACAACTGCTACATATTTCAATTTTGGCCTCACAAAAGTCATAAACAGTTTCTTTTAGCATTTCACCATCCATATAATTAAAAGCAAGCCTGAAGTTGGAAAGCGACGCATATGCTCCTCTCACAATGTTCTTTGTGTGTTCCTCTGGTGACAGCTTACTACCTGTATCCAAAACAACTTCTAGGTCTTGCTCTTTATTAGAGTTCTGTAATTCCCTTTGACATAATTTGTAAGTGTGGTCTGTTTTCTCCAATTCCACATTCTATAACATTGCATTTATTCACACTGAATTCTATTTGCCACTTGACGCTCCAAACACTTATTTTATCTAGATTGATTTGAAGAGCATTACAATCGTCTGCGTCTCCTGTCTTTCCCAGTACTGTATCTTAGCATCATCTGCAAACATGTTCATATAATTCTGTATGCCTTCTGGTAGATCATTTATGTATATGATGAATATTACTGGTGCAAAAACTGGACCCTGTGGTACTTTACTAGTAACACTCCTCCATTTAGATACATTGTCTGATTACTGCCCTCATCTGTCTGTCAGTTAGAATATTTGTCATCCATGTCAGAAGTTTCCCTGTCACCCCTCCAGCATGTTCCAGTTTCCAAGCAACCTCTTGTGTGGGACTCTGTCAAAAGCCTTTATTAGGTCCAGATAGACTCGGTCAACCCAACCATCTTTCCTGTAGAATCTCTGTGGCTCTATCATAAAAACTAAGTAGATTTGTTACACAGGAGCTTCCTGTTCGAAAACCATACTGTTTGTCCATTATTTTGTCATTACTCTCGGTGTTCAACCCATTTGGCTTTAACTATTGTTTCTAGTGTTTTGACTACCACACTTGTTAATGATATGGGTCTGTTATTTAGAGGTTCCTCTTGACTATCATTTTTATAGATTGGTACTATGTTTGCCTTTTTCCATATATCTAAGATTCCTGTGCACAAGGATGTCTGGAATATTAATTGGAGTGGAATGCTCAGCTCAGTTGCACATTCTCGCAGCACTCGAGGAAACTCCATCTGATCCAACTGCTTTATTTTTTCCTAACCCCTTGAGTATTTTTTCCACTTCGTCTTGAGAAATCTCTCTGTATTCTACGGCTTGCTCTAGAATTGGTACCGAGTCTGGTTCTATGAAATCCCAATTTTGTACAAACACACTTTGGAACTGTTCATTTAGCATTTCACACATTTATTTTTCATTCTTGGTAATCCTGTTCCCCATTCGCAATCTCAGGATTTTAACCTTAACATGCAGCTTGCTTTTAATGAATTTGTAGGAAAGACATCACACACAGAGATCACACTAACGTGATGCATCAAATGAACAAGATGGTTTTGTTCATTTGTAGGAAAGTCTTGGGTCTGTTTTACATTTGTTTGCTATCCCTTTCTCAAAGTTCCTTTCTGCTTCTCTCCTCACTGCTGTGTATTTGTTTCTTGCTTGCTTGTAGTGCTGGTATGTTTGAGGGTTAGGCCTCTTCCTATATTGAACCCATTTTCTCATCTTTTCCTCTCTGGCTCTCACACAGTTTCTGTTGAACCATTCCTGTTTTCTGGTTTTGCATCTCTGTTTTGGTACAAATGTTTGTGTGCCTTCTTCATATATTTCACAAAATTTGGCATTACAGTACATCTGATTTACTTCCTTCCCCTAATGCCCATTCTTTCCTAGTTTATATTGCAAAGCATATTTAATTTCCAATAGGACATAACTCTTTCCCAAGGGAGGAAAGTACTGGATGTCAAATATCTCTTCTTTCCTGGTGAATATTAAATCTAGTATGAGCCCCACTGCTTTGTCATCCTCCTTTGTGTATGGGGTTTTTTGTTCATGTGACAAGCTGGTTATAACCCTGAGTAACTGTTACTCCCTTCTAATACACTGCCAACTTCAGTGTTACTTGCATTTTGCCCAAACTATGATGTATTTAAGTATTGTACTGTATATGTTGTCACATCAGTCATGGCATACATTCATTTACTTCTGTTTTACCTACAACCTACTGGCTGTACTTCAGGTATTTTTAATACAAAAATTGTGTTTGTGCATTGTTTCAGAAAACAAATTTACATTCAGATAAATTTTGTGTAGGCTTATTAGTAAATAGTGTAGTACATGCCTATACTGTATTACACAAATTGAATTATAGCATGCAAACTATTTTTGTCTGCTTCAGTTAATATAAGTGAGTCAATAAATCAAACAACTTCTCTTCATCCCTTTATTCTGTGGGCAAAGATATGCATTTTTGGTCTTTTTAATACACAGATCAGTGTTGGGGTTTAGCCATATTTTGACATCACCTTAGCATTCTCGTGCTATAAGATGCACTTGTAGCATAGGATGTCCTCAGGTGTCATGATAGATGGATGTGGCAAGACCTAGACTTTGAAGTTAGCAAGGCCAAATTGCTCATTGTAATGATGCCGCCGCCTTTCACACGGTGTAGTGCGGAATGGTATTCATGTACAGTACTGTATTTTACAAACAGTCTCCTTGACAAGGGGGCCAGGGTCAGGATTCAACAAGCATCTACTTATGAACATGTACAACTTTTCTCAATCTTTGGGGCTTTGTTTACCTATATTAACCCTTAAACTGCACATGGCGTATATATACGACAGGACCTAATGATACCACAAGTTAAATTTTTCAAACTTGTCCTAACGCTTTCCAATTTTTTGTGCATAATCTACTAGGCAAACACTCCAACTTCGTCTAAATGATCACCAACATAACTTTGAAAAACAAGAAAATTAAAAATAATTATAAAATTTAATATTGAAAATTTCTGATTTTCAGATCAGCTGCAAAAATATTAAATATCACCAAGTGTTCATTTAAGTGTTATGCTCAGAATAATATATGATCTTCATTTTAATAGATTTAGAATACAAATTTTCAGTTTAGTGTACTGTAAAATAAATCGTCAATCTGGTATTTGAAATATGCACCAAATTCAGACAACAAAATTTATAACTCAAAATGTTTAGAGTTTATGAAAAATCCATTCTAATAGGATTGTAGAATAGACAGCGGCGCGCGCACTATGTAAAAATGGTGAGAATCGGTCAGAAACTGAATTTTTTGAAGCTGACTCAATGTTGAAACTCTAGTTTTAGAGATAATTGAAGTTGAAGTTGTCGACATTGTATAAGGTAGTTCTAATTCATTAATTTACTTGTATATTTTAATAAACATTGTTCGGCATTCGTACTCAAGAATGTGAAAGTTGTAGGTCAATGTGTGTTGAAGTCAAGAAAAAATAACCCCCAAAAAACAAAATATAGGGATAATTAATTATAATGATTTAGGGGATATATTTAGGGTATACTTTATACAAGTCAAAAAACCCTAATCTGGTCCCTAATCATCAAAACAGTCTAAAGAAATGAGGAAAATATTTTGAAATCTGAAAAAATCAGCCAAAAAAATTCAAAGTCCCAAGTTCTGCCAGTTATGACTTATTTGTTGACCAATTTAATTTTATCTTCACATAGTTAGGGACGGGTATGTATTCTCCAGGATGTAGAGGTTACAACAAAATCGGATAATAAACAAAGAAGGAAAAAAAAATCCTCTAAAAAGGAAAAAATTGTGGACATTGGTGAAAGTAACAGGTATTACCATTGTACATGGTAAGGTATTTGTATGATACATAACAAAATAAGCATAATAACATACTTACTCATTATTCTTTGTATTATTATGTATTACTCAGCAATGCTAAAAAGGCACCGGCTGCATATCCACTTTGTGGGCACTTCTAACTACTACTATTCTTCTTTGTGCATCGGACAGGTGTTTGAATCTCTCTATTACTGCATTATCCCTCAGTTCCAGTTAATGGGAGCTGTTCTCCTTATCAACAAAACGTCCTTCTTTTTAAAAAAAAAAAAATTGTCTAAAATCCATTTCTGAAAATATTGGGATGAAACTTTCACAACGCTGAAGCCAATAAGTTGGAGAGTTGTTTAACATTTAACATTAATTTTCACATAATTCAAATATATTTTTGCCCAATGCCAGCTTATACCCCTATTTACAGCCCAGGCTGTAGCAGTGTAAGGGTTAAATGGTTCATGAGCTCCGAAGTACAGTACTAGGAGACTGTTTTTACTGATATCAACATTTGATTGGGAAGTTTTGATGCTTATAAACTGTTTAATACATGTAAAGAAAGCCGCCAAGGATTGAGAAAAGATGTACAGGTTCGTAAATACTGTACTGGTGTAATGGCTTGATGAATCCGGCTCCTGAACTATGCTTGCCCAGTGCCCATCTTGTTTTGCAGTTGGCATAACAAGACGGATTACTGTTAAACCGAATTCAAATGAGAACGGTTTGTGTGTCACAGCGTAATTGCCCTGATTTTTAACAAAAAACCACTGTGTGTTGTTCTACTTTTACCAGAAGTTGGATCCAGTCGCGTTGTGTTTTGCTTTTTGGATTTTGTTTATATATAATGGGAGATATGCATATCTACATATCCCATGTGTGACTTGAATTAATTGATACTTTTTATTGACTTATTTGTACTTAATAAACTCCTTAAAGTTGTGTTGTATGTTTATAAATAATTTTCCACACAAGTGTTACCTGTACCTTATCAGTCTAGCACCAATGTTGCTGGATCTGCTTTCATAATGTAAGTTGAAAATATTTGTTGACAGTACCTTGCTGTATATGAAATTTTATTTTCAGAATGGCCTTATTGATGAAACCACTACCAAACTGGGTCTTCAAAATCTTCTTTGTGTATCTACTAGCAATGCCGACAGGTATTACCTAACTCGAAAGTGCTGCTATGTCTTCCATTGTATGAACCTACGAACCAAATTTAACTATCCGGATATACCAAATCAGGTAAGGTTGCTTGCAGTAATATTTTAGTTAATGAATTGTAGTAATGTCAATGATTTTAAAGAGTAGAAGATCTACAATGTAGAGATGGATCTTGTACTGTTGCTGATTGTTAATATTCCATTCATACTTTTATAATGCTAGGTAGGCTGCTTTGCATAGTTCATTGGTAAAATTAAAAATAAATTAAACATTTTTACACTATACACAGAAATCACAATAGCGTGATAGTTGAAATGAACAAATCCACAAGGGCCGTGACGAGGATTCATTTTTGTAACGCTTTAAAAGTTTTATGCATAATTCCATATTCAAGAGACCAGTTCTTCATTTATGGCTGTTTGTTATATTACTCTGTTGTCTAGTGACTATCACTTTTATCATACATCTAAGATTCCTGTGCACAAGGATGTCTGAAATATTAATTGGAGTGTAATGCTCAGCTCAGTTGTACATTCTGTCAGCACCCAAGGTAAAACTTCATCAAGTCCTACTGCTTTATTTCTTCCTAGCCCCTGGAGTAATTTTTCCACTTCGTCTGTAGATACATCTATGTTTTCTATGGTGTGGTCTGGAATTGGCATTGGATCTAATTCTCTGAAATCCCAATTTTGAATCTTAATATTCCTGACTCCTTTATCTATTTATCTTTATCAAGAATCCTATTGTCCAAAGATTTTGGGCAATTTTAATTTTTATCTCGTTGAAAGCTAATGTTAACATGTATTTTTGCATACTATATATTGATATCACTTGAATACACAAATGTTTCAATGTAAATACACTATTTACATTAATAATTGGGTTCCCACGAGAAGGTTTGTTGCCTTATCATGCTCTCACTGCAAAACATTACAGTATAGTACAAGTACAGGTATGTCAGTAAAATACTGTACACAGTACAGTATCACTAATTTTTTGGTGTTGCGTTCTGCTGGTAAACTCATGGCAGAACTGTGCTTCTTAAGTACTGTACTGTATATTGATTAATTCAAGATTTTGTGCAACAGTTAGATATTTATCTTATTGCCAACTTTAACCTGTTACTGCTGCTCTTAAGCATCTTGTACAATAAATTTATTTATAATGTATTAGCAGATATATAAAAATTCTTCCAATAAAGCCTTGGAATGTAGGTTAGAGGCCTTTAACATGTATGTGTATTCTCAACTGACCAAACTACTATTGGATATACAAGTGTTTAACTAATGTGGCCGAGTGTATTCAGCCATGTTGAGGATGTGCTCACCGAATCTAGTGGTTCAGCTGGTTTAAGTTTGGCCAATTAAAAGTGTACTAATGTATTCAAAGAAACTTTCACATTAAAATTAATTTTCATGAATAGATGATCATTCGTGATGAACGGGTGGCTTCAGCCATGGAACAAGTGGTGGCAGAGGAGATGGAGAATAATGGACTGGGAGCCAGTGATAAAAAAGCATATTCATCCCTGATAGCTAAACACACTAGTAGAGCTCATAAGTTGCTCAATGACATGAAATCAGCTATATCCAGTATTTTAATTAGGTAAGTAAAACCAGGACTTGCATATATTAATATTATAAATTACTGCATTGAGAATACCAGTATTGTAAGAATCTTTCAGAGCTGTTCCTCTGATGGTCCCCGAGCCATGTACCTATGTCTGTATGACTTGACAATACTTGCTCCCTCAATGTGACCCCCATCTATGCTAGTTATGAGGCAAAAGTAGAATAATTAAATTCTAAGTGCACACCACAGTACTTGTAAACAGAGATAGTGAAGCCAGTAAGCTTATTTGAAGTTCAGGACACCCTCAAAATGCCCAGGAAAGTTGAGGCCAAAGTAAAGAATAGGAGCAACACAACAACCAGGAAAGACACTTATCATTATTCTCAATTTCCTGTTTCTGAGCTCCGTCCCTCAGTTGCTTCCTAAGCCAGCTCTCCTGGAGGGTAAAAGGAAAGGCATCAACTTAAAAGAAATATATACTGTACTGTAATGAACCGGGATAAAACTTGTCCGAGCAATGCTGTATGTATGTATGCTTCCTCCAGGTTCATGAATAAAAGATATTCAAGAATCCTGTTTACCTTTTAAATAAATATCTGGCCATATAAATAAAAATGTGCTAAGAAGGCTCAAGTGTCTGCAAGTTTGAAATAAATTTTACTCCATTATGCACAACTGTCTTGATGTGCATTAATGCATGTCAAGTTCATAATGTAAAGTCAATAAAAATAGGAGCTTTAGACAAGTGTTGCTATAAAGTTCTTAAGACTTCAATTCAAAAATTAAATTAAAATTAATGAGACCAGTGAAATCACATACTGTAGTAATATCTAGAACTTCTATCCTGACATTCTTTTTAATTGACTTTAAATGCATCACATCATCATCTTTCTGCTGGCCTACATACACCTTTTTTATCTAATTAATCTCATTGGTATTCTGTCAAATCCCTCGCCTTTTAATCACTAAGCTTTGCATCATAGTGGCATGGTAATTAATTTACACATTCTATACTTTCAGATTAACAGGTTATGTATTGTTTAAAGTGTTCAGCAATCTTCTGATGTCGGTGACAATTCATGGCGGCCAGCAAGAAGTGATTGAAAGAGCAGCCAAAAGAGAGACGCCCATAATCTTTGTTCCACTGCACCGGTCACATGTTGACTACCTGTTTGTCACTTGGGTACTCTTCAACCGACAGATCCCTGCACCCATTGTCGCTGCTGGCGACAATCTTCGCATTCCTGTATTTGGGTAGGTCATCTAGTCCAATAGTTCCTGACCCCTTTATTATTGTCATATCTGCTCATTTAAAACTGTTGTTGACATTAACCTCTCCCCGTTTCCCTTCTAATTACAGTTTTATTCTTTTTCTTCCACCTACTTTATGAAGGGCCGTTTTGTTTTAACTCAATTTTGTGGATATTGAAATTTCCCATGATAAGTAGCTTTACTTTCTACTGGCAGTTTCTGCCATTTCTAGTAATTATGCTAAAAGCCGTCTTGTTTTTGTTGAAATAAACCTGACAAGGTCTCCTATTATTTGCTGAGAGTTTGTACCTGGTTACCTGGTTGACTCCTGGTTGATGGGGTTGTGGGAGTTCTTCTACTCCCCAAGCCCGGCCCGTGGCCAGGCTTGACTTGTGAGAGTTTGGTCCACCAGGCTGTTGCTTGGAGCGGCCCGCAGGCCCACATACCCACCACAACCCGGTTGGTCCGGCACTCCTTGGAGGAAACAATCTAGTTTCCTCTTGAAGATGTCCACGGTTGTTCCGGCAATATTTCTTATGCTCGCTGGGAGGATGTCGAACAACCGCGGACCTCTGATGTTTATACAGTGTTCTCTGATTGTGCCTATGGCACCTGCTCTTCACTGGTTCTATCCTGCATTATAGGTGACTATCAATGAAATTCTCTTAATTTTCTGATGTTAGAACTAATACAGTGAATCAAATGGTTCCAAATACTGTCATCTTGAGGTCAACCTATTTTTTATCAACTCCATCTCCTCTATGCACAATTTAGTACCCTCAGTTTGACTATTGGTTTTTCTATCAATGAATATTATTTAGTTTGTTTCACTATTAAATGCTGATGCAGGGATGGAAGGCAGCTTTTTTTTTGGGGGGGGGTGTTTGAAGATATCTGGTGTATAGTTGTGGAGAAAGTTTGATATATTACATAACCTTTGACTGGCTTTAATAAAAAATATTTTTTTCTGACATTTATGTTCGCATTTTTTATATTTAGCCTTTGAACTGAGGTTGAATGGCTGGCATGGGAGTCTGGGGCTCCCCATTTCCCATCCCAGGGAGGGGGAAGCTGCACAGACAGCGGCGCGGCGGTGGTTATGATGTTATGCTTGTTTGTTTGTTTTCGGAAATGGGAGTTCTGCTTGATAATTCTGTTTTGTGTAGCAATTAATTAACCAGGTGGAGTTTTTTTTGGGATGCCAACCTTTCTGGGTGCCTAACCCAGTCGAAGGCAGACATGGAATGCTCCTAACTACATGAAGGTTTCTATAGGCCATTGCTTCTCGTGCCTCTCTGAGGGAGCCAAGTTCTGGCTTGTGGTCTCTGGTAGGCAAGAACTCTAATCAGTTGACTAATGCCAGTCTAATACATACATACATATCAGCCTTGTAAGATCCGGGGATCCTCCGGGACTCACCCAGACAATGGTGTTTCATTACATACAATGCTGGTTTTATGCACATAATTTTCCTTTACAGCAATTATTCCATTATTTAACAAGATTATTTATTCCATTTAAATAAAATAATTTTAAAGTGGTTTCACACAAAGTATGTTCATACCATAGGATATATAATGATTAGTTGTCTTGCAGGCCTTTCAGTTAACATTTAACCTCTGTGATGCGCCGCATATATTGTGAAATTCGCCCTGTTCCCCAAAAATCAAGTGTTCGTAAAAAATTTCCTTTTCCTTGTAAAAAGATAAATTCCCTTTCTTGAACATGTACATGTAAGAAAAAAAATAAAATTCCACTTACTTTGGCTGTGGGGACATATACAATGTTGTGTGTGACGTCATCACGGGGCTGGTTGCCCGTGCGTGAAGCTCCCCGACACAGTCGTGCGGGCCATTCAAGCCTCGTGAGCTACCGCAAATATGCTTACAGAAAATATTTTTATGTATTTTCAATGTTTTATATTTTTATTGTATCATATCTGATGCATGTGTCCTTTGCAATATTTATACAGTAGAACGTCCATAAGGTTCCATGGAACTGTGATACATGTCAGTAATATGTCCACAATAAATTTTTGTCTCGATATTAATTGTTCAAAATTCACTAATATTACATTATGTACAGTTTCACACACTATTTACACAGTAACACACTGTATTACACAGTACTTGGCAAGTGAGTTACAGTATTTTCAAAGAAGCAGTCCATGAGACAGAGCGGGACTTTGCACTCAACGCATATGGTACATACAGATTTTTGCTTCCTGGGTTTTCGTGCTGAGTTTTTGCAAATGATGCGCTCATGCTTAAGTTCCTGTAGGTGGTAGGTAGGGAGACGTGTGAATTGTAAAGCTGTCTTTAGCAGCCAGTCTGCGAACTAAATGTGGTCTTGTTGGGGCATGAACAACTGTCCTTACGCTGCCTTCCTGACCATACTTGACCAGTAATTGCGACACCAGAGCCTGACTAAAAACTCGAATTGGTTTTTTGCCTGTTTTCACCAAATACATGTTGATACAGTTGAGCACTGTTACGTCCACAAGATGAAAGAAAAATTTCCTTGTCCACTTTACACTTCTGCGGACACATTCAACAGCACCAACCATGTCAGATTCATCTGGGTTATACAATGTTCCAGCAGCTCGATACCTCACTTTGCCACTGTCAAGCATTTCACCACTTCATGTCTGTCTTTCCAATGCACTGCTAAAATCTTGTTACATTTTCTAAGTTCACAATCACCTACACCAATATTGTTTTCAAAAACTGGCATTTCTTTCCTGTGTGTCTTTACAGTGCCACACACTCCCATGTTATGTTCAAGCAAGAACTTTGTTAGCAAGGGGCTTGTATAATACTTGTCAGTGTACAGAATGTGCCCCTTGTTCAGCAGTAGTTCCATGAGCATCTTCACCATTTCATCTTCATGCCACACACTCCCATGTTATGTTCAAGCAAGAACTTTGTTAGCAAGGGGCTTGTATAATAATTGTCAGTGTACAGAATGTGCCCCTTGTTCAGCAGTAGTTCCATGAGCATCTTCACCATTTCATCTTCATTTTCAAGAGGAAACTAGATTTATTCCTCCAAGGAGTGCCGGACCAACCGGGCTGTGGTGGGTATGTGGGCCTGCGGGCCGCTCCAAGCAACAGCCTAGTGGACCAAACTCTCACAAGTCAAGCCTGGCCTCGGGCCTGGCTTGGGGAGTAGAACAACTCCCAGAACCCCATCAACCAGGTATCAACCAGGTACCACACTGCCAGAAAAACCATGAGGATCCTGTGCTGGTATGTCTACGTATGTACCAAAATATAATATATATATATATATTGTTCGCCATTCCGGTTTCACAGTCGCACAGTACAAAAAATTAGAGAGCAAAATGGTGCCATTTCGATGGGATGTACTGTTTGAGGCAAGACGTCTCTTGAAAAGAACTAGTGATTCATCAATGACAACATTGTCCTGGTACAAAGTAATCACGAATTTTCCCTCTGATATCACTGAACACTTTTGCATTCTCCAACGTTTATCATTTTTATCAATATTTGCAATTTTTTAAAGTGTAGGCACCGTAGTACCTGTACCGTGACGTGTACTTGAACACGGGTGTGAACAGTGCATTCTTTGTTCCAATAATTTTGTATGACGGCTTCACTGTGTGTTTCATGAGCATATTTAGAGCAAAGAACATAAACAACTTGGCCACAGTTGTGTCTTTCCAACGTAATAAGTAGGTAATAAGCCACCTGCAATAAGTTGTCCTGCATACCTGTTTGTTTCGGCAACAAGAAGTTGCATGAACTGCTCATCAAAATATACAATAAAATAATCACTTTACGTCATGTCATCACCTGTGTGTGGGAACGTGGGTGCAACTCCCCACATCACTATCATCAAATTGAGGTTTGTGTGGTACAAAAATATCACAGTCCTCCAACACAAATTCAGCCGTGCTGCTTGTACTGGGAGCACTGCCACAAGCGACTCCTCTACGGGTCCGTTTTCTTGCACTAAATCTCTTTTGGACAAGAGATTAAGGTCTTCAACTTTGTATACTAGTAACAAGAGCAGATAAAGTAGATAGAGGCAACACTGTCGTTAGTGTCGTTGTGAGGGGAGACATGGTGGCTCTTGGCAAGGCGTCTGGCTGAGCCAGCAGGTATATGCCTAGTAACACCGTGACGGTAGTCACTAGCACTTGGCTTGTCTATGCTACTTGTATCAGAAGCAGCGTCACTGAACCCAGAAAATGATTCAACAGTATCACTTTCATTAAAAATTGGAGATGAAGGTGGTGGTGTGGATAATGCTGGCAAGGGTGATGACCTATGACCGCCCCACTACGCGTGCCGCTCGCCCTGAACGAGACGCGCTCACTGTATCGTCGTCATCTGTGTTTAATATTTCCATTGGACCCTTTTGTTAGGACTCTGTTATCCCTTGGGTTATCAATATCACATTCCTCTTCTTCAAACAATAATGTCCAAATTTCCCTTGGAGAAGGCGATCTTTCAACGGCGCGTCCCACAGGCAATTGGGAGCTGGAGGCGTGTGTGTCAGCCATGGTTGCTCGATCAGAACTGAGGCTACTCTCAGCCCTGGAGCATTCTGGGATTTTTTTTCAAAATGTCCTCCGCTCACTAAAAGCCCTAGGCATCCATCTTGTACCCAACCTACCGCTTGTTTGAATAGGTACGAAATATTAAAAAAGTGTTTTCTCGGCTTGCGCAGTTTCCAACGGACCCAGTTTTCTCGGCTGGTGTAGTCCAGTGGTTAAACAATTCATAAATGTTAATTTAGATTTAAGTAGGCATACAACCAAAAACACTTGAGCTTCCTATTTTAATTATTTGTTTCTAAAACAGATGGCTATTAAGAGGGTTAGGAGGCTTCTTTATTAAACGTCGTCTGGAAAGCTGTAAGGCTCGGAGAGACATCCTTTACCGTGCAGTTCTCCAAACATACATAACTCATGCTTTGCAAGCAGGCTACAACTTGGAATTCTTCATCGAGGGTGGCCGGACTCGGACAGGCAAACCATGCATGCCAAAAGGTAATTTTTCAGTTGTCATTAATTTTAAAAATGAATATAGAGTACTGTACTGTAGTACAGTATATTTAAAGATAGAATCAGATTTTTTTCTCTTTGTTGAAACTGGTTCCTTCTGGGAATTTTGTCCATTTTCCCTATGAAAGCATACCTTCCTAGCCATCTGCTGTCTTCTTATGCTTAGATGTATTTTCCAAATACTGTACAGGCCTTCCTCTAAAATCCCGATTATATTGTTCCTGAACCGATTTGGATTCCCAAACATTTGTTTCTTTTTTATATATCACCAAATTCTGTTTTTCAGATAAAACTCAAAATGAGAGAACTATTAAGTTTGACTTTAAATTTGCTCAGTGACTTTCCCAAGGCACCAACTATTTCTCATAATGTTATCATTAAAAATCGTAGTCATACCCATATTACACGCATTACTGTACCATTAAATAAATCTGTTAATACTGAATTAAGATTTTTCCATAATCTTTTGGCTGAGTTTCGTGAGCAAATTTTTAGTTTCAACCTAACACACATTGGGCCAAGATCATAAAACCTGTGTATATGAGATTCCACCACATGTAGCTTATTAACCATGTCGTACCGTCAAAACCTCATTTCCAGGAAAAATGACCCATAACTAGGTGACTGAAAACTACGCCAGCTCAAAATGAAAACAAGCCCAAGAATTTTATTTTAAATTTACCAAGTGGCTTTTCCAAGATTAGTGTTGCATCTATCTATGAAAATTGTTAAAAATGTGATTGGAGCCATATTAAAAGAAGTTACAGTACCGTCAATACCCCTAATATGTTCTGTGCACTATGGAATAATTTCACCAAGCAAAATTTAATTTTGTCCAAACATGTGATGAACACTCTAGCCACTAGATGGGGCCTGGTGGTTGAGTGGACAGCGCTCGTAGTTCGTAGTCCTAAAGGTCCGGGTTCGCTCCCAGGCAGAGGCGGAAACAAGTGGGCAGTTTCTTTCACCCTGATACCCCTGTTCACCTAGCAGTAAATAGGTACCTGGGAGTTAAACAGCTGCTACGGGCTGCTTTCTGGGGATGTGTGTGAGAAAATTAGGATTAAGGTCTTGCCCGAAATGCTGTGCGTGCTAGTGGCTGTACAAGAATTTAAGAGCTCTTGTATATATAAATAAACAAACAAACTACCAGGACATTGTCTATGGAGAAATTTCTCCCTCATTGTCAATATTTTTCAGTATCTCGTCCCTTAAAGCTATTTTTCCAAAAATTGGACCATGACACCAAATGAACCAGGCCCATCAGCTTTCCCTTGACTATATTTTTTTTTTTTTTTTTTTTTTTTACTTAAACTAAAGATTTTCTATTAAGTCTTTTAACTTTCTGATAAATAATTATTAGAATATACATAGTTTAATTACCATTTTCAGAATAACATTTCTGGTACATCTTCTGACCTAAACTGACATCTGCTGAATGGTAAAAAATATATAAAAAATATGGTCTGCAAGAAACTACTGTACTTTTTCTACACAGAAAATCTGGTGGATCCACCTTGAGATTTGGTGGCCAAATTTAGTCCATTGCTTAGAGGCATTCATTATAGGGGGAGAGGGATTTGCAAGGTGCCACTATTATATGGTAGACAGGTACAGTGGAACATCGAATAACGAATTTAATCCGTTCTGGCACAAAGCTCATTATGTGAAACGCTCGTCTTTCAAAACAAATTTCCCCATTTAAAATAATGGAAATTAAATTAATCCGTTCTATACCGAAAAACGTCAATATATTCGATGTTTTAAATAATGAGCAGCCTACCTTACATACACTGAACAAACCTTTGACATTTTTCTTTCTTCAAATTTGCTCATTTTTTTTTTTCAATTTTCTATAGCAAATGGTTCGTTCGGTGTTTGTCAGGTAGACTGCTCCATGTTTCTTAAAAAAAAAAAATTGACAATTTTTGAAAAACGGGCAAATGTCATAAAGGTTTGTGCAGTGTTTGTCGGGTAGGATGCTCCATAATGACAATCTTTCTTAGTTTCAAATGTGTTCAATTTGTTTGTATTTTTATTCATTTATTAATAATAGAGCAGCCTACCCGACAAACACTGAACAAACCTTTACGGCATTTGTCTGTTTTTCAAATTTTTTCAATTCTTTTTTTGTTTTTTTTTGTTTTAAGAAACATGGAGCTGCCTACTTGACATACACCAAACAAATCTTTTTGACATTTGTTCTTTGTTTAAATTTTTCATTTTTTTTTATTCTACAAAAAAAAGTCAATGCTTTGCAACATCACAGCAGTCACCCCTTTACATACCAGCATCATTAGCATCTTTAAACAAAAAAGTAATTTATTTGCATTGTTGGAGGCATCTGAGAATGTGCGAGAAGCAGCGGGAACGCACCATGTGGTTTTCTCGTTAATCAAACGAGCGCTCGCCAGTCAAGACTAATTGTCAGCAATCGGCGTGCTCATTATTCAAAATGCTCCTAAATTGAGGCGCTCATCACACGAGGTTCCACTGTCTTTACTTTTCCTTCTTGAATATTAGAGAGGTTATTGTTCTGTCAACTCTCCTGTCTTTGGCCACTCAAGTATTATAACCAATTCATGCTTTTATTCAAAATTTATCATCTTCCTTTTTTTCTTGCCTCATTCAATGTGACTACTGCTAGACGTCTTTCTTACTCAAAATTAGTTAAATACAATTAAAAGAAAAAGGTTAACATATTAAGCAGAGGATCGTTTTGAGGTAACAATGCACAAGGGAAAAAGAACATGCATGTAAATGGATGATACATAGGAACTTAATTGGTCCACATAAACAGTTTAAAAGTAAATAAATGTATATCCTGAAACACTGCCAAGGCAGAAATAAAGCAAGTCATGTACACAAATTGGCATACATACCGTAATGTGACCGTTACACTGGACAACCATTCAACAATGAGTCAGTTCACTTGGCTTAAAAGGAAAGCTGTAAGTTTCAGGTTGAGATCACACTGTGGGTTGAAGTTGGATCCCCATGAGCTGCCAGCCATGGGGAGGGAGCCAAAGAAGATATCTCCAACATGCTCAATGTCACCTGGCGTTGTCACATGTTACACAGATCCCAATTATGTAAGCTACTGAGTGACTTAGAGAGGGGCATTTCACTGTGGTTTTCACCCACTGCTCTATATTTGTGGGGTTTTCAATCCCTAAATGATACAGATATTTAAGAGTACAGCATTACATTGAGGTGCATGTCTAAACATATTTAACATATCAAAATAAAAAAAAAATTCATATGGGAGATTGGTGACACGTAAGGTTTAAAACAAGTTTTTATCATATCTGCTTCAACTACATTATTTCTTTATTTAGATTCTGTACTTAATTAAATCAGTTGTACTACAGATTGTTATGTACAGTATTACTAAACAAATTATTTTACTCTTCACATGTTAATATTTACATAGCATTCTTAGTGCATTAATGCTTATCTTGAATAATGATAGCTAATGGTATTGTTCATTATGCCAGTTTATTATTGTTTATTGTAATTAACTTGTCTGGGAAGGTGTTGTCTGCAATAATGGTACTTTGTTTCATCAGCTGGCCTTCTGAGTGTTATTGTGGATGCCTACACCAATGGCACTCTGGATGATGCTCTGATTGTCCCCATTGCCATCAATTATGATAGGTTGTTAGATGGAAACTTTATCAGGGAACAAATGGGACAAAGTAAGGTGGGTGTGCTTCAAATTTATACATTTCTTGCATAAATATTTCCTTGAAGATACCTATATATACAGTACTGTATACGGTATATATATTTTAACCTTTTGTCAGCTGTTTACGAATTTGAGGCAGTGAGGTAGTTGCGCGATCTTCAGTCTAGGTATGCATATAGTGGTAACGGTTTTAAGAAAGAATTTACATTATTGAAAGAAAAATCGCAATGTCTACTTAAATCAGGCTCGAAGAACTTCCAACATTTTTTATGGAATTAGATCTAAATCTTTTCAGTTGTAAATATACAGGAAGTTGTATACTACTTGTAAGACTAAAAAAAGAATTAAAATACTTAGTTTTTCATTCAATTGACTTAATATTTCTGTGTTATAGCTATGTAAAATCCTGCACAAAACAAGAGCCACACAGTCCTTACTCAAAACATGTAGTGGGTTTGGGTTCTTCATGCCTGATTTGAGTAATTAAATTATTGCACAAATATGTATATATCGTCGTCTTCCCACTTTACCGTTGTAAATATCGTCCATTAGTATTTTCTAGCATACCTTAGTTTTAAATACAGTAATGAGTTTTAATTATACTGTATATATTTAATTTGCATGTACAGAAAGTCGAGTGCATTTATATATCGACAAATATTTTCAGGTTCCAGAATCATTTTGGGGAGCAGTTCGAGCCATAATGAAGGTGCTCTCCACTAACTATGGGCATGCAAGAATTGATTTCGGGCAGCCTTTTAGTCTGCGTGAATTTATCCAGAATGCCAAGGTTGCTTCAGCTCGTCTTGGTTTAAGTCAATCTCAGAATAAACCCAAAAACGAAGTTGTATTGGGATGCACACCACCCCTCTCTCCAACCCCAACAAATGAAAGTCGTGCACCAGTTGCTGATGACTTGAAGTCACTAACACCACTTGCTCAAGCTGTATGTACTCTAGTCACAGGAAAGGGTCACCAGAGGTCTTTGTCTAGTCCAACATCGAGTGATCATCTGCCACTAAAGAGATCATTAACCAATCCCTCCAGTGCCATAAATGGCGTAACCTCCAAACTTCATGAAGCAAGAAGTAACTCCTCTCTTTTTGGAACTGAAGTAACAGATGAATATAGATATCTTGTCAAGTCATTAGCATCTCATATTGTTTATGGTAAGTATAGATTATTTGACACAATGAAAGCTATTTGTTAAGAGGGACTGAGTTTATATTTTTGTGTAAAACTTGGGAATACTATTCACCTAGTCTTATGAATTCAGGGAGATGCTACTGTGAATAATTTGCTGGATTGTGGTCATTCTACTTCATTATATTGTTTTGTGATATAAAGCATGAATGGATGGCTGTAGATTTCAATTGCTTTAACCTTATTTTACTATATTAGTATCATTGTACAAAAATCTTTTCATCCTATGAAATGGGAAATGGGGTGATGATACAGTTATCCGAGTTTATTAATCTTAGTAAAAGAATATTTTTTCTCAGCACTGTCTGTTCTTTTAGCAAGATCTACCAAGTGTATCAACAAAGACTTTATCTGGATGGAAGCGATCAGCTGCTTCCTGAGCTTAACACTGATACCACCAATTCTTGGCCCAACACTTGGCTTCTGATATCATCCATTGCCTACTGGATGCTGGGACTAGAACCTAGCTCATTCTAGAAGATGAAAGGAGCATGGAGATCAGAGATAGATCCAAAACTAAGAAAAAAAAAACGCCAGAAAGTATATGCACAGCAAAACAAGTGACTGTTGGAAATATAATAAGCATCAAAAAGTAAAAAAGGCAAATTATCATTGCTGCTGGGTAAAACCTTAACTTGTGTACCCAGCTGGCTCTGGACGACAGGCCAGATCACCCCAGGATCCCAGCCAGCCTGCTCCCTCACTAAATATATTGAACTAGTGTTGAACTGTTGGCCTGTTGCCAACAGCTCAACACTTGTCACCTTTGATGGGCCTCATCACCTGCTTCTCACTTTCACAAAGTTTTGACCTGGCTTGGATTGGTCTGGGATACCAGGACGGCTTCCCTTTCTCCCACTTGGCCATAGTAGTGCTATGCTTCCATCTCCAACTGTTGCTAGAAGGTCATCTTTTTCATCAGGGCCTCAAGTATCTTTTTGGGCAACCTCAACTGTCAGTATACCCACAAGCTGAAGGACTATTGCATTCACCAGTAGGCACCCTTTTGCCATTGCTGGGATTGTGTGGTGCAAGTACTGTATTAGCCGAGATGTTCATGGATGCATCGGATCTCTGTTGGGGCTTTGTCTCTAGCCTGTAGCAGACACACATCATTGCATGGAAATTTCTGTAGTCTAGATAGTGCTTTGGCACTGTGCAGTTGGCTTGTCCTGCCAAAAGTGCATCATATGATCAGTGTTGTGGCCTCATTGGGACACTATTTGTGTACTATGCTGTTCAGGTTTTAGGGTTTGTCAATCCTGTGTGTCACATTCTTGTTCAAAGGTCCACCTTGCCCAGGTCATCCATAAGATGGTTCAATTTAGCCAACCAGCTGTGTATCTTCACATGATGTGCAGACGTTTCCTGCTTTGAAGGCTTTATTTGCCAATATATTAAGGGGGTAATATCCAAGTCTCACAGGCTCACCATAGCCTGTGTTACATAGATATTTAAGTTCCAAGTAGCTAAATCTAAAACAACCAACATGCAGGTCTGGGTCTTCTGGTGGTCTAATAGGGTATTAACCTCTCATTATGTATTGGATGTCCCTCAGCCATGGTGCACTTTTATTGTGCTTAGCATGCTGCTGATGTTCCACTGCCTGAAGCCCTTTTCTCCAGCTTTTTGTTTCCCATGGATAAACCCAGTCTGTATTTTCTGTTTCTAATCCTTTCCAGAAAAGACATCTTCCCACCCAAGGCACAGTTGTGAGTTCAGTTTATAATCTCAAGGACCTACTTAGGGACCCTTCACAGAAATAGTGTTGTAATGAAATACTTTTTTCGTTAGGAAAAAAGGCATTTCACCAATGCCTTAGGTAGGGTACGGAAGCTTCCCTTCCCTACCCTGTTGCCTTCTTCCTTGTGAGGTTGGGGCTTTTTATATGGGCAGCTCCATAATAAGAGGGCAGACTGGCTGGGACACCTGGTGACCTGAGGTACCATCTAGTGGCAGTTGGGCACATCAGTTATGGTGTTTATCTTGCAACAACAATTGTTTGTCTTGTTTACATTATGGTGCTTACTTTCATTCAGGGAGTAGCTTGCTTTGTTGTGCCTATGCTTTATGGTGGATTTTTTCTCAGCTTTGAGTCAATCTCTGATCCCAGGCTCCTCCCTCACCTTTTAGTGTGTGACAGATTTTGGTGTAACACTCGCTTTTGGTAGGTGGCAGATGGATCTTGGGGGTTGGGCTAAAGCTTACTGATATCAGGGTCAAGTTTCGGGAGCTACTGGTGACCCTCTAAAATAGGGAGTTTTATTACTTTTAGCACTTGATTTCTTGCTACCTTGAACAGCAAAAAAAAAGTAATTTGTAATTTCCATCAAAGTAATTATATTGCAACTGGCAAATAGTAAATAGGTGTGATAGCTAAAATAAACTGCAGAGACATGGAATTAAACTGGTTTAAGTATTTTTTAATAATGAACCATTTGTAGATTGCTTATTTTCATGATTTGAAAAAGTCATGAATTCTTTAAAAAGATTAGCAAATATTCATAAATGTGTGCTATATGCAAATAGTTAAGATTACTGTACACTGGTAAATAAATATGAGAGCAAAGGACAAATAAGTTAAAAGGAATTGAAAGAAGCTGATTTAAACTAAAATTCCACACGTGCATACATGCACACTAACACGAGAGCCCGGGGAGACATGAACACCCACATACGAGGTTCTCAGGGGAATTGACAGGGTAGACAAGGATGGATTATTTAACACAGGTGGTACAGTACACGCACAAGGGGACACAGGTGGTACAGTACACGCACAAGGGGACACAGGTGGAAGCTGAGTACCCAAATGAGCCACAGACATTAGAAAGAACTTATTCAGTGTCGGTTAGTAAATGGAATGCATTAGGCAGTGATGTGGTCGAGGCTGATTCCATACAGTTTCAAATGTAGATATGATAGAGCCCAGTAGGCTCAGGAATCTGTACACCAGTAGATTAACGGTTGAGAGGCGGGATCAAAGAGCCAAAGCTCAACCCCCGCATGCTTACACTTGCACTTCCATGCATAACCACTTACAAAATTCTCAGGGAAATTGACAGGGTGGACAAAGACAAGCTCTTCAGCACGGGTGGGACACGAACAAGGGGACACAGGTGGAAACTTAGTACCCAGATGAGCCACAGAGACGTTAGAAAGAATTTTTTCAAAGTCAGAGTAGTTAATAAGTGGAATGCACTAGGCAGTGATGTTGTGGAGGCTGACCCCATACACGGTTTCAAATGTAGATATGATAGAGCCCAGTAGGCTCAGGAATCTGTATACCAATTGATTGACAGTTTAGAGGCGGGACCAAAGGGACAAAGCTCAACCCCCGCAAGCACAATTAGGCGAGTACTTGTATACGTGCATGCACATGTACTTACTGTACCTGGTTGATACCTGGTTGATGGGGTTCTGGGAGTTCTACTACTCCCCAAGCCCGGCCCGAGGCCAGGCTCGACTTGTGAGAGTTTGGTCCACCAGGCTGTTGCTTGGAGCGGCCCGCAGGCCCACATACCCACCACAGCCCGGTTGGTCCGGCACTCCTTGGAGGAATAAATCTAGTTTCCTCTTGAAAATGTCCACGGTTGTTCCGGCAATATTTCTTATGCTTGCTGGGAGGACGTTGAACAACCGCGGACCTCTGATGTTTATACAGTGTTCTCTGATTGTGCCTATGGCACCTCTGCTCTTCACTGGTTCTATTCTACATTTTCTTCCATGTCGTTCACTCCAGTACGTTGTTATTTTACTGTGTAGATTTGGTACTTGGCCCTCCAGTATCTTCCAGGTGTATATTATTTGATATCTCTCTCTCGTCGTCTTTCTAGTGAGTACATTTGGAGGGCTTTGAGACGATCCCAATAATTTAGGTGCTTTATTGCGTCTATGCGTGCCGTACATGTTCTCTGTATTCCCTCTATTTCAGCAATCTCTCCTGCTCTGAAGGGGGAAGTGAGTACTGAGCAGTACTCAAGACGGGACAACACAAGTGACTTGAAGAGTACAACCATTGTGATGGGATCCCTGGATTTGAAAGTTCTCGTAATCCATCCTATCATTTTTCTGGCTGTCGCAATATTTGCTTGGTTATGCTCCTTAAACGTTAGGTCGTCAGACATTATTATTCCCAAATCCTTTACATGCTGTTTTCCTACTATGGGTACATTTGATTGTGTTTTGTACTCTGTATTATGTTTAAGGTCCTCATTTTTACCGTACCTGAGTACCTGGAATTTATCACTGTTAAACATCATGTTATTTTCTGATGCCCAGTCGAAAACTTTATTAATATCTGCTTGAAGTTTTTCAATGTCCTCAGCCGAGGTAATTTTCATACTGATTTTTGTGTCGTCTGCAAAGGATGATACGAAGCTGTGACTTGTATTTTTGTCTATATCTGATATGAGAATAAGGAAAAGCAGCGGTGCAAGGACTGTACCCTGAGGTACAGAGCTTTTCACTGCACTTGGACTAGATTTTATATGGTTGACAGTTACTCGCCGAGTCCTGTTTGACAGAAAACTGAGTATCCAGCGTCCTACTTTACCGGTTATTCCCATTGACTTCATTTTGTGTGCTATCACGCCATGGTCACATTAATCGAAAGCCTTTGCGAAGTCCGTGTATATCACATCAGCATTCTGTTTCTCTTCTAATGCCTCAGTGACTTTGTCGTAGTGCTCAAGTAGCTGTGAGAGGCACGATCTTCCCGCTCGAAATCCATGTTGGCCTGGGTTGTGAAGGTCATTGGTCTCCATGAAATTGGTGACCTGACTCCTAATCACTCTCTCAAATACTTTTATGATGTGCGATGTTAGTGCAACTGGTCTATAATTTTTTGCCAATGCTTTGCTCCCTCCCTTGTGTAGAGGGGCTATGTCTGCTACTTTAAGTGCATCTGGTATCTCCCCCGTGTCCAAGCTCTTCCTCCACACTATACTGAGTGCCTGTGCTACCGGCACTTTGCATTTCTTTATAAATATTGAATTCCATGAGTCTGGACCTGGGGCCGAGTGCATGGGCATGTTTTCAATTTCTTTTTCAAAATTTAGTGCGCTCGTGTTTATATCAGTTATATTTACAGGGGTTTGAATATCCCGCATAAAGAAATTGTCTGGATCTTCCACCTTCATGTTGTTTATTGGAGTGCTAAACATGTCCTCATACTACTTTTTTAGGATTTCACTAATTTCTTTGTCATCCTCCGTGTATGAACCTTCACTTGTACGAATAGGTCCAATACTATACATAATATTAAGACATCTTTAATTTGATTTCTTTGTTTTTCCAATTTACATTCAGTAATGTTGTATACTGTATTAGTACAGTATGTTTGACACTGACTTAAAATAACTACTAACTACTTTCCAAAAATAGTTTGGTTGTACTTTCAAGATAAGAACAAATTAAGGTATTGGTAGTATTTCTTTCAGTTTGGACTGAAGTGTAGGTATGGTGACTAATTCCATTTAATACAATTGTGAGTTTTAGCAAATCCAAGTGATGAAGCATTGTAAATGTTGCTAGATAAGAATCATTGGGAGGAAGAGGGAACTTCATATATTCCCTGGCATGGACAAGAATTGGCAGAAGAAGGGACACTCCTCTACTCCTTCACTGGAAGTTTAAATCATGAGTACTATTGAGAACTTTTGTTCTCCTTAAGAACTTCACTATAATAAGGCTTTAAACTTGGCATCAATACTAGCATTTGGACAAAAATAAAATTATTGCAAGCCACATAATATATTTAATGTCATAGTTTTAGGCATATTCTAAGTGTACTGATAGAAAAAGGCACTAAAATATAGTTATAGGTAAATCTATCAGGGAACAAACCTTGTTGAATCACTTGTGATATAAAAAGATTATTGATATGCACATGTATTTATGTGCATGTATATATCTAAATGTACATATGTAATATTAACAATTGTGTAACTAGCTTTGCAAGATTGTCATTTGCTTAGCTAAATAAAGAGGTTCAGTTCCTGAAGCCATTATGTGCCTCTAACCATTTCTACCACTGCCCACGGCATGGGTATGGGGTGCATAATAAATGCAGAACAGAGAACAGAACAGGGGCAAACCTTATTAAATTTATACATTTATTCCTAAGAGGAATGCATTATTACATAGAATATATACAGTTATAGAGGTCATAATAGTTTATTTTGCAGAATTTCTGTATTTTAGAATTTAAAATTTGTTTCTAAATTGTTGTTTTGCTCTCCCAACAGATGCTGAGCAATGTCAAGCCATCATGTCAACAAATGCAGTAGCGTGGTTGTTGTCATTTGTGTATCGTGATGGAACAAGCTTATCTACTCTCACAAAAGCACTTGATGCCCTACGAGACTCTTTGCGAGCCCGAAAAAGAGATACAGGTTTCTCTGGCAAATCTAAAGATGTTATTATACATGCTGTAAGTATGCTGCAGTATTTGTTAGTCCACACATTGGTGTCATAATGCTGTATGTAATGACAAGTTTTTATGTAGGAACCATCTGTTTTCAGTGACAAATCTTAAGTATTATATTTTATCATTCTTGTAAAAAAAGAAGTATTTAGTCATTAAAATTATAACATATTGCAGGCTAAATTACTTGGAGCTGGACTGGTTAGAATAGAAATGCCCCAGAAAAATGACAAGACTGGATGTGAAGCAGATTTCTCATTAGAACCCATCACACTCCTACCAAATGTCATCGAACTCAACTATTATGCTAGTGCTCTTATTCCTGTCTTTGCTATTGATGCTGTTGTTGGTAAGTACTGTTCTGTCTTGTGTGTTTTAAGCATTTATATTTCCTATGTATAAGAATGAATGTAAGATAGAGCACTGAGAATTACTCGTACTTTTACTTAGCATTGAGAGCTATTCTCGCTGTTATATTTTACTGTGAAGTGAGAATTGCTCCAGATTTTACATAATCCTGAGAATTACCCTTTCTTGATAACTCAGTAATATGACACAAGATTATTATTTGTTTTGGATATGCAATTCATTTTTATAATATAAAATGTAAAAAGGCATGTTCTACACAGTATAAGGGATATAACTATCGTGGTTTGCCTCTATTATTGGTAGTAGATATGTACAGTACAGATGATTGGTCAGTTTCTTATTGAAACATGAAATTATAGGATTTTCTACTTCCCATTAATATATCTATTACTTTAATGCCTTACTTTAACCCAAGAGCTTTCCATTAAGGAGTAGCCACAGCAGAAGTTTCTCCTGAAGGTGCTATTGCTAAACAAATCATAAACTCTCTCATGCTTTCCCCTCCTTTCACTACTACTTCACATATTGTTCACTCTTCCCTTCCAAGATACTGGTTATCTGCCTCTACCATGTGATCCTTATATATCCTTTTCCTTTCTCGGTAAATGATTCTCAGTCATTCCATTAACATGCCCATAACACCGTAGGGTATTGCACTCTACCCACTTCACAACTTCACATTAACAGACTCCTTTAAAACACATTAATGTTAACTCTTGACCTGTTATGTAGTTACCATAGTGTAACATTTTCACACTCTCAACTAGCGATTCATTGTGTTTCTTGCATTATTTTAGTAACATCTTGCTTGAAGATGACAGTTGGTTCCAGACCCTCTTTGACAAAACATTTTTCATTCGCTATTTAGATTTGCTATCTCTTCTGGACAAAGATCAGGAGAAGCAGATTACATTTTAGACTCTGGCAAGGACAAAGAACTTTTTCAAGTGGTCTCTATGGGTTTCACTAGAGCTATGCTTAATCTAACCCAAAATGATTGACAAAGGGAATCCGTTATTGTTTGTCCAGCAACAGGGAACAGGGTTGATAGACCTTGAATAGGTCACAATACCTGCTTTATTACATAAAATAAAATAGTTTTCAAGAGGAATTTTGATAGCGCTTGATCAACCAGGTTGCAAAGCTGTGCAAGTTATCTGCTGCCAGCAGCAACTTTACTAATATGTTATCACCAAAGTAGCCTGGGTTTTTGACTGGGTTGCAGGAGTAAAATACGTGTTGAAACTAGTCACAGGTAAATTGCAGGTGGGTCCTATATTTGCTCTAACCTTGTCTTATTTACAATGGACATGGAGAGTGAGTGAAGGCAAGCTGCACCCAAGCCGAGAGCCAGTTTACCCATTCTCCTGATCTTGATGTTCAGGTACAGGCGGCTTTGGTGTTGCATGCAAGATACAGGTTTCTGCAGCAAGCTAGGTTGGTTGCTCACCTGGATGCCCTGAGGCTACCCCGTTTGGGTTGTAGGGACCCGGAGTTGGGGGTGTCAGTCGCTTCACCTTTGGATTCGTCCGCGCTCCCGAATCCTTCCCAGGTTGGTGGTGTTCGTCTTGCTCCCAACTCTCGAACATTTGCAGATTTCTGGGTTGGGGCGGGGTTTAGATGATAACGAGACTTCGGCGGCTTCGGGGACTGCCCCATCCGTGTTGGCGATGGAGGCATTCGAGCCTGCTGCTCCTGCTGAGGTTTTCGGGTCTTACTAGTGAACCCTCTTCTTCTCGGCCTTTCCCTTGGACTCTGCGTTTTCTTTAGGGGCAGAGGGTGTGGAGGCCGGCTCTGCTCCGGGGCATCTGTTGCTGGTTCCAGGAGCTGTGGTGGAAGCCCATTAGCAGTTCTGGGGCTGTTTGCCTCTGCTTGAGCTTTGTACCTTCTGTGGGGGAGGGGGGTTCATTCCTCCTCTTGTCTGCTTTGATTTCCATATTTGCTGGCATGCTTTTGGCTCTCTTGCATCAGCCGTGTCTCCTTTTGTTTTGGTAGCCATTTTCTTTTCTTCGGGTCGCTTACCCTCCTGGCTGCCAGGGCGGCGCTGTGGTTTGTTTGATCACATGTGCTTGGGAGTATGCGCTTACATTTTGGGAGGTGTTATTTTGCCAAGTCTGGTGTTTTTCTCCTCCCTTTGCTGGTTCTCTGTTTTGTTCTTTCTTCTCAGGCATTCTGCACTTTTTCTGTTCCCCTGGGAATGCTTGAGTGTTGTTTTTTTTTCCCAGTTTTGGGTTTTCTGTCTGTGTTGGGTTCTGGGACCTGGCACAAGCCACCCCGTGGGGCGGCAGTTCCCATGAATATAATGTTTCACAATTATTTTGATGTTTCTCATTTGTTTTTTCAGTTTTTTTTTTGCTGTAACATTATTCAAAAGGGTGTAATTTGTGGAATTTATATAGTTCAATGTGTGGAACATCACTATACTCAAAATTATGGGACTCATATACAGTATGTGACATGTATATTATATTCTACAATCAAACAGTGTTTTTGCTGTTATTACACTATATACACACAAACATTGTATGTACCTATCTACATATGTGTTCACCATGAGGAACCACTAAGTTGGTATGATGAGTCCAAACAACAGGAGTGGCTGTGACACAGCAGCTAGCAGATACCACCTCCCTCCCGCCTTCAACACCTCACTCGTCAACATTCATCCTCCCATCATACTATTATTGTTTTTATTACACTATTTACACACGTTATATATAAGTATCTACATGTTTTGTTCCCCATAACTGTACAACTAAGCTGGTATGGTGTCTAAACAACATTGTGGTCTCAAAAAACTGCATGACAAGTGACACAGCAGCTAGCAGATGACAGGACCTCACTCCCCCTCTTCTTCACCAAACTGGCTCCTCCCAACATACTCCTTTTGCTGTTATTACACTATATACACACACGTTATATATCTGTATCTACATTTGTGTTCAGCGTAGTGAACCACTAAGCTGGTATAATGAGTCCAAATAACAAGAGTGGCTGCCACACTCCAGTCAGCTCACATTACCTCCCTCCCTCCTCACTAAGATTCCTCCCACCATACTATGCACAGCACTAATTATCACCACAATCCTGCTATTACCAGAATCCTGGTCATTATATCCTGTAAATTAATAATATTCCACAAGTTTATTTTGTAAAGGAACATGAGAAGTCGTTTCAAGATTCTTGAATGGGCCGAATAATGTGTGCTGTGGCTAGCACTGCGAACATCTTGAATAGCATTGTGTTCACTGATATCTGAACATTGTACACAGTCTTAATCACAGTCAGGCTCTTTTGTAATACTATCATGGCTAAATAATACCAGTTACATATATAATTTTATATTTTTAGGCAATGCTGTGGTCACAAGCTGAACAGCAGTGCTGTTAGCTCATGCTGCGTATGCCAGTCTTGGTTGCTCACTCAGTACTGAGGCTCACACCTGGGAATGTTACCCACGATTTTTTTTCAAGATAGTGTCTGTTTACAGGGGTCCTGAGACACAGGATGTGAGCCCAGTGTACCCGTGGGAGTTTTGAATCCTATGCTATACCAATGATTGCCATATGGTGCTCTGTAAACCCACAATCCAGTACCATATGGCGCTCTGTGCAGTGCCGTGGTTAAACAGCAAACAGCCAGGGAACCCGAGGCACATTGCTCAGGTGTCGAAAACACATTGTCAGGGAACCAAGAGTGCACAGCACAGGACAAATCTCAAAACCAAGGAACCACAGCCTGGGAGACCCAGACCCAGTCAAGCACAACAAGACCCAAAGGACCTGGGATGAATCTCCAAGATGAGGCGGAGGCCACTAACCATTCCTAAACCTCCAGCCCTGAGCCCCTCAGAAACTTGGGGAGATAGCAAAAGAGCCGGCAAAACCTCTAAGAGAAATGCAGTAGATGGCTACAGAAATCAACCACCCCAATGAAGGGGATAAGCACACAGACTAAATGCAGCAGATGTCTCCCTCCCACCCTCTACCTGTTCTCTACTGAGGCATGGTGAAGCCACAGTCAACAGATCTGGTGGGGGTAATACAGATCTCCCACAAGTCAAAGAGAAGGTAAAGACTTTAAAAATTCGAGCAGGAAGTTTGCAGGCCAAGCGGGAAGCACAGGCTGAGACTGAAACTGGCGAAGACAAGGAGCCCTAGCTAGCATGCAGTGGAGAAAACAAACCTCCCAACCAAACGTAGGGGCAAAAAGTGTCAGGCACTGGAAACAGGAGAAAGCGGTGACCAAACAGAAAAATACAACACGGATGTGATTGGGCAAAACAGCCCTGAATAGTACTAGGTGCACGAGTGAGAGGTGGGTGGTGGATCAGGATCCCATATGCCATGGGCTGACATAGACTGCAAGCTGGGCCAGTTGGAGCTAGGATAGTTCACCCACTGCTAACTATCATTTGCATTGTTTTCCTCATTCATTTCAAGCAGTGACTTGTTATATATTTTTTTTATTACCTGGTCCCTATTCTTCCTTGCCTTGTTGAGTGAGCTAAATTCTAGCTCTAGTTCCCAGTAAGTCTTTGCAAGTCTTAAAGGCCCATTCAACTTGGAGGCTTAATCATACTAAGTGATGATTAATAATCTCAAGAGTAGCTACTGATAAAATATACATTAAAGTTTATTACTGGCAATACATTAGCCAGATTACTTTATATTCATATGCATAAAATTTACTATCTGCTTGTAAAATTAATGTGCATAATAAATAATTAATTTTTGCAGCCACCAGCTTATTGTCATTAGTTGATTGTGATATATGGAGCTATAAGGACTGCTCTCCAGATTGCCTCATAGACAGAGAAAAGGTAAGTGTCGGCAAGAAAAATGCAGTGTGTAATATGTATAATGTGCAGCACAGTATTTAGATCTATCAGACCTTGATTATCTTCACTAACATCATTACCCTTTTTTTTGGAGATTTGGAGGCATTTGCCAGAATATGAAATACTTTATACCTTGCATTTATATATTGTACTGTATTACTTTTGTCCCCTCCCCACTCTTATATTTCCTTCTTTTCTCTCTCTCTATATTTCTAACCCTGAAAAGAAACAGTTTGGTAGTATGTTTAATTACAGACAATCCTTGATATTCCATTTTGTAAAGTAGACCGTATTTTCCCATTGACTTCTTTATCATTACTACAGAAAACATTTAGTCCCTTGCACATAAAATTTTATTTAACCCCAGTGCTGCGCCGCTTTTATTGTGACAATCTGGTGGTGCGCTTAAATTCATGTCCCCCCCCCCCCCCCCCTCCAATTTTATTCTATTGTATACTGTTAAATTCCCTTCTCTGAACATGTACATGCAAGATTTAATTTAAAAAGCCCCCCCCCCCAACCCCCTGGACCCACTACACCGGCTGCCCAACCACAGTTTATTGGCTAAAGCGATCCGGGGTGGATGTCATCTCTGGCCTCTGTTTCCAAACAGTGTTTCCCCTTTCATAGTGTCCTCTGCTGTTTGTGGTGTAGTGGCAAGGTGTACCTGAAGTGTACCGAGGCTGCATGCAGTTAGGGCAGCCTTTCCTAGGTGCCCAGTGAGTACTACCCTTGCGTGTCAGGGTTATCTTCCCTGGCTTCTCACTCCATCCCTAACATAGATGGAGTGAGATCGAAGATACTGGAGTTAAGTGATGTATTACAGCTGCAGACACCAGACATTGTTGCACTCACGGAGACAAAACTTGATGATATTTTAAATGAGGTCATATTCCCAAGGGGCTACTCAATTTGGAGATGGGACAGAAAAATTAGGAAAGGCGGTGGCGTTGCTGTGCTGGTGAAAGAACTCCTAAAGGTGAGGGAAATAATGACTGCCAATCCACAAGAAGTTGACATAATAGCACTAGAGATCTGCCATGAGGATGATAAACTAATGATCATAAATGCATATAGTCCACTGCCAAGCAGCACATGGTCAAAGGATGAGCTAGATAGTAAATGAGAAGGTCTTGTAACAATAATGAGAGAGATTATAGCGAGAGCGGATAACGATAGATCACGACTGTTGATAGTCGGTGACTTCAACTTGAAATCCATAGACTGGGAAGCATATGAAGCTAAAACAGAAGATTTTTGGACCTGTAGATTTGTAGACCTCATCCTGGAAACATTCTTGTATCAACATGTTAAACAAGCTACGAGGATGAGGGAAGGGGACGTTCCCTCCATGCTAGATTTGATATTTACCAGGAAGGAGGAAGAGATATTTGATATTCAGTACCTTCCTCCCTTGGGTAAAAGTGACCATGTTTTTTTGGGAATAAAGTATGCAATGTGTTATAATCTGGAAGAAAATAAGGAGGTTGAAGCAGTTGAAAAACCTGACTTCACTAGGTGAGGACATTATGGCAACCTTAGAAATTTTTAAAGTTAGTATAATTGGACAGACTTGATGCTTGGCAAGGAAGTGAATGAGATGTATGTCAAGTTTTGTGAAATATATGATAAAGGCACAAAAAAATTTATACCAAAACAGAGATGCAGAACTAGGAAACAGGATTGGTTCAACAGAAATTGCGAGAGGGCCAGAGACCAAAAGACACAAAAATGGAATCAATACAGGAAGAGGCCAAACCCCCAAACATACCAGCGATACAAAGATGCGAGAAACAACTACACGGCAGTGAGGAGAGAGGCAGAAAGAAATTTTGAAAAAGGGATTGCAGACAAATGTAAAACAGAACCAGGTCTATTCTATAAATTCATAAACAACAAATTGTAGGTAAAAGATAATATTCAGAGGTTGAAAATGGGAAATAGATTCACGGAAAATTAAAAGAAAATGTGTGAAACATTAAATGAAAAGTTCCAAAGTGTGTTTGTACAAAATGAAATCTTCAGGGAACCAGACACAATAAGAATTCCAGAGAACAACATAGAGCACATAGAGGTGTCTAGAGACGAAGTGGAAAAAATGCTCAAGGAGCTAAGAAAGAACAAAGCAGTTGGTCCAGATGGAGTTTCACCATGGGTTCTGAGAGAATGTGCACCTGTGCTCAGTATTCCGCTTCAACTGATTTTTCAGGCATCCCTGTTTACAGGAGTTGTAGCTGATGTGTGGAAAAAGGCTAACATAGTTCCAATCTACAAAAGTGGAAGCAGGGAAGACCCCCTTAATTATAGACCTGTATCATTGACAAGTGTAATAGTCAAAATATTGGAAAAAATAATTAAAACTAAATGGGTAAAACACCTGGAGAGAAATTATATATCAGACAGACAGTATGGTTTTCGATCTGGAAGATCCTGTGTATCGAATTTACTCAGTTTCTATGATCGAGCAACAGGGATCTTACAGGAAAGAGATGGTTGGGTTGACTACATCTATCTGGACCTAAAAAAGGCTTTCGACAGAGTTCCACATAAGAGGTCGTTCTGGAAAATATTGGAGGGGTGACAGGTAAGCTTCTAACATGGATGAAAAATTTTCTGACATAGAAAAATGAGGGCAGTGATCAGAGGCAATGTATCAGACTGGAGAAATGTCACAAGTGGAGTACCACAGGGTTCAGTTCTTGCGCCAGTGATGTTTGTCTACATAAATGATCTACCAGTTGGTATACAGAATTATATGAACATGTTTGCTGATGATGCTAAGATAATAGGAAGGATAAGAAACTTAGATGATTGTCATGCCCTTCAAGATGACCTGGACAAAATAAGTATATGGAGCACCACTTGGCAAATGGAATTTAATGTTAATAAATGCCATGTTATGGAATGTGGGATAGGAGAACATAGACCCCACACAACCTATATATTATGTGAGAAATCTTTAAAGAATTCTGATAAAGAAAGAGATCTAGGGGTGGTTCTAGATAGAAAACTATCACTTGAGGACCACATAAAGAATATTGTGGGAGGAGCCTATGCAACGCTTTCTAACTTCAGAATTGCTTTTAAATACATGGATGGCGATGTACTAAAGAAATAGTTCACGACTTTTGTTAGGCCAAAGCTAGAATATGCAGCGGTTGTGTGGTGCCCATATCTTAAGATGCACACCAACAAACTGGAAAAGGTGCAAAGACATGCTACTAAGTGGCCCCCAGAACTGACTAGCTAAACACAGATGCCGAAGAAATACAAGAAAATTCACTTTCGCAAACAGAGTGGTAGACGGTTGGAACAAGTTAGGTGAGAAGGTGGTGGAGGCCAAGACCGTCAGTAGTTTCAAAGCGTTATATGACAGAGTGCTGGGAAGACGGGACACCACGAGCGTAGCTCTCATCCTGTAACTAGACTTAGGTAATTACACTTGGGCAATTACACCCCCTTCCCCTGCATTGGCCTTTGCAGTGTGAAAAGTGGGCAAGAGTGAAAGTAAACTTAAACAAAAAATATAATAAATTTATCTTATCTCACAATAAAACAAACGAAATGACAACTGAATTACAACAATACTTAGCTGATACTTAAGAGCAAAAAGAACACATGAAAATTGGCATTAATCAAGTTCCACAATGTGAACAAATAAGACTTATGAATTATACACTGGAAACACCACAACCTTAGCATGAAACAGCTGGTGGAGCAAGAGTTGACAGCTTGTAATGTTGACTCTGGAGCACCTGAGAGACTGAATTTGTTGGTGCTGGTCAGGAGTATTTATACCTGTCGGTGACGTCACATCCTGTGTTAGCATCAATTTGAACGAGTCACCAGCAGTGCAACAAGCACACCTACTATAGGCTGATGGTAATGACCCGGGGTCGGGGGGGGGGGGGTTAGGTAGTCGTGAGTAGACTATCAATGACAAAGGTAAGAGTGAAGAGGCAGTTTACCTGGCTATGCAGGGGGAATTATGCAACAACATATACCTATTTACATACATACACTATATTCTCAGGTTCACAGTTATCCTGAGATTTAATGCTATCTTTAGCCTGCACACTGTGCACCTGTTCTATGAGACAACTTTGTGGTGCAGTTATTCATGAATTATTAACTTTAACTAAAATATTTAAAACCAGAAAAATGTCAAAATACTGTATTGCCAAATCCAATAAATTTCATTTCAAATCAGAGTGAAAAAATATTAAATTTTTAAAAAATATTGCTAAATTTAAATTTGTTTTCCTCATCTGTTGAGCACTTTAAGGGTACTATGGGCATTGCAGTGGTTAAGATATAACTGTTAAATTGTATTCATACATATTCCAGTTTGTTATTTTCAGCTAATTGAGCGAGCTCTTCGTCTGTCCGAGATACTACAGAATGAGTTCCTGCTGGCCCCACCGTGTGCCAGCCTGGACACTAAACTCCATCAATCTGTGGATAACCTTGTTGACATGGGCCTCCTACAGGATGCTGGGGTAAGTTTCTATTCTACTTGAGACTACACACGCATCCTCTCTTGGATCCTGAATTGTAACTAGTGATTTTAAACTGTCCTTACTAGATAATGTATTGAAAATTTCTCTCATTGGCATAAGATTAGCCTTCTTCTTCTTCTTGATAGTAGGTGCAGTTTGCATGAAGGGTTTGTCCTCCCGATGACTGCACCAGTACAGGTGTTGGTAGAGGCGTTTATGTTGAAGATGATAAGAGTTTCAAAAGTGCTTGTAGCATTGTGCTGTAGACAGAGGAGCGGCGACTAGAACAGAGGTGTGTGTTAGAGGAAGACTTGCCGCACTGTAGGACGGTGTGTTGTGTTTATGGCGTCAGCTGATCCATGGTGCTGCGATGAGGCAGTTAATTGACAATGTATTTTAACTTGATTGTGATGCCATTTGTTACAGACCTTTACTGAGGTTTGAGAAATTTTTCTCAAATATTTACCTGAATATTTACTAGTAGGCAACTATTTTAGTATACTGTACTAATATATTAGTCAGGACTTAGGATAGTTGATCAGTGATGCAATAGGTCAGTAAATGTTTGTGTGTGTGTGTGTGTGTGTCAGGTTAGCACATGACCTGTAATAAATGATGAATGATGGAAGAGGACAATATGTCCTGTAATAAATGATAGATGATGCAAGAAGACATTTTAGGATAAGCTTTGCGATGTGATAAGATTGATTTATATTTAGGTGAATGTATGTGCAGTGATGTATGCCACCAGTACTGAGAGGAAGAGTAAGAATTTTATTTTGGAGTAAGTTGCACTTAATCCATGCACTGCTCCCTAGTTTAATTTGACATTCCCGTGGTGCACATAAAAAAATTATTTCCAGTTTGTTTTTTCTAGTACTATACTGTATTGTTAAAATGCATTCTCTGGTCATGGGAAACTAAAAAAAAAAATAATTGTATGAGACATACTTTAGCCAAAATGGAGCCGAGAAGTTGAGCAGTTTATGAGCACCAAGTGAGTAGGCGCTCAGCAATGCTTGTTGCCTCAGTGATCAAATATGGTGCGAGTTGCAGCGAATATAATATTAACTGTTTTAATATATCTGACTGGTTTTTCTCATGTTTTTTGCCATATTATTATTCAATAGTGTGTAATTAGAAATTTATGTAATCAAATGTCTGGAACATTTCTGTGCTCAAAACTGTTTGTGACTAAGATATGCACCATGTCATATGTTTAGAACAATAAAAAGTGTTTTTGTTGTTATTACACTGTATACACACTATATATATACAGTAACTACATTTTTATGCACCATTATTAACCACTAAGTGTTTCTGGTGTAAAACTTTTATCACCAGTTATCAGAGTTCGGCTTAGGCCCACATTGTTTATTAACGAATAATTATTGTACAGTAGATCCAAATGAGAAACTGAGATTGTTCATGTGAAAGGATTGATAGTTGATAGCATAGGAGGGAAGTGAGTCCAAGTGCTGTGGTTCCAGGACAGAACGGATAACAAGATTAACAATAATAAATAATTACACAGTATAATAATAATTATTATTCTAAGTATGGATATATTTAGCATCACTGAACTACATTTTGTATTGTAAAATATTCATAAAAATTTATTTTTAGTATTGATATAAGCAAAAGCTATTTAATTAATTCTTGTTTATTAATTTATATTTGCAGAAGGTTCACAACAGATGGTCTGACGACTCTGACGAGGATGAAATGACCTTCTCCTTGTGTTACAAGGTGGTACCATCTACGTCCTCGCTGGAAGTAATTGGAGCATGGATAACTATGCTTACCCCTATGCTGGATGCTTACTACTACACTGCATGCAGCCTAAATACACTTGTTTCTAGACAAATACCTGACAAGGAGTTCATTCAGAATACTCAGAATCAAATTGCAACTCTTGTTGACAAAGGCACTCTGAGATATGGTATGTTGGTCATTTTTCTGTTAAAATTATTTTTTTTTTATTTCTTCAATAAGTGATAACTAATGTACATTTAAATATGTTCATTCTGATAGTAATAAGCCATGGAAGGATTAGGAGGATTACTATGGCAGCAGTAATGGGAGTGCCCATGAACTTTGTTTCTTGACTTGTCTATTGCAATCACATCTGATAGTCCACTTTTGTTTTTTTTAAACTTCACAGTTCTATGTATTTATGGACTCTTTACAATTATTCCTTTTGACGTTCTTCCTGTGCCCAGTTTCTTTTTTTTTTCCCACAACTTTTTTTTTTCTGTGGAGAGCCCCTTTGGCTCCCCGGAGCTATACTGGGCTGATGTAAATATATTAGACCGTGGCAACAGTCAATTGCTGGAGTTCTTAGCCTATCGGAGACCAGTGCCAGTACCTGGCCCCCTCGGAGAGGCATGAGGAGCAATGGTCTATAGACACCCCCTATTTAACTGGAAGCAGTCTGTCTGCCATCTATCAGATCAGGCACCCAGAAAGGTAGTAATTCCAAAACAAACTACAGCTGGTTAAAAATTGTAAACCGAAAGCCGAACTAGCAAGCAGAACTCCCCAATCGAAAAAAGTAAACATGCATGATGTCACCACAGCCACTGTGCCGCTGTCTGTGCAACTTCTCCCTCCCCAGGAGGAAGAAAGGGAAGTGGGGGGGTGGGGTGGTCCCAGACCTTACACACTGGCTACCTAACCTCAGTTTAGAGGCTGTTGTGATTGGTGGCAGTTGATTGACTCTGGCTCCATTCCTTTGAGCAGTGCTGCATAGCGGTGGTGGTGTTCTGTGTGGTGGTGTGCGAGCCAGGAGTAACACAAGAGTGTTGGGCCTGCATGCACCTAAGATCACCTTCCCTAGGTGCCCTGTAAATACTACCTTTGTGGTTTAGGGTTAACTTCCACGAGAGGTTCGGGAGACTATCTCTGCGTGGTTAGGTTGCTGCTCAGTGATTGCCCACCCTTGGGGGTTCAGCTGGGGTGATTCTTACTTCTGTTTGACCTTGGGTAAGAGGTAGTATCGTTGCTGGCTGGGGCGCAAGGTACTGTGCAGCTGCCTGATATACGCATAGTGACCGGTTCTGATCCCCTGTAAACGTTGTGCTTTTGCGGGGTTTTTCTTTTGTTTTGTTTTGCCTGGTGTAGCTGTAGGACTACTTGTATGATTTTGGTGGCCCTCTGCTAGGTCCCCATGCTTGCATGGACTTTGTTTGCTTGGTAGCTAGCTCTGGGATAACCGGTTAACAGTACCTTGCCTGGGCTTCCCTTATCAGTCAGCTTAAGGGCCCTGGGAACCCTCATTGGGGATCATTGTTCCAATGAAGGAGACCTCTCGAGTCCAACCTCGCTTTCCCAGCTCGCTGGGTTTGGGTTCTTGGAGAACCAGAGGGAGTCCCATTTGGAACTCTCAGGTTCGGACTTGGCTGGGTCTTGTCTGGGACACTCAGACCGCTTCCTTGTCTCTCCTTCCTGCAGCGTTGCTGCAGCTGCAGTCCTGCCTTTGTCTGTTTTTGGAGGGCACCCAGGTCATACGTCGGTTGTTCGAGCAGCTGTGCGGGAGTCTGAATTTCGCCATGCTGGTCTACCTGTCGGGTCAGATCTGGCTTCGGCGACTGTTCCTGGTTCCTTCGGGGACATCCTTTCCGCCACTCACGATCGCTGGGTTCGGACCCCGAGGGGCCTTGCATCGGCTGTTGTTGCATCGCAGGCTTCCTCTTCAGGTTTTTTGTGGTTCTGTGCCGTAGCACCTACCCGAACCCTCACCCAATGTGTTCATGGATGCATCGTCTCTTGGCCGGGGTTTTGTGACCAGTGCTCACCAGGTCGGCCAGGGTCGGTGGGGTCCGTCCTTTTGTCGGGCTCACAACACGGTGCGGGAGTTCATGGTGGTGTGGCATTCACTTCAGAGAATTCGAGTCGCTTGCGGATTGACGATCCTGCTCTGTTCAGACAGCTTTCTTGTGGTTCATTGTCTGAACTGCGGGGATTCGATGCAGTCCTTGGCTCTTTGGGGCTAGTCGCTTTGGGTGACTCGTCTGCTGAGTTCTCAGATTTTGGTTCTCCTGGCGGTTCATGTCCGGGGGAGTGTCCAGTGTACTGAACAGCCTGTCCCGTTTCATTCCCTTGTCCATGGAATGGATGATCGATGCCGACACATTCCATTAGCTCTGCTGAACGTTTGGGCGCCCGGACGTGGACCTCTTAGCATCAGGTTGGTTGAGGCGTCTTCCGGTGTATGCGGCGCCCTTTCCCGACTGTGAGGCTGTCGGGTTGAGGTGGAGTTGCTTGTACCTCTTCCCATCAGTTCGGTGTTGCTCCAAGTCCTGGCTCGCTTGGAGACTTACCAGTGGAGGGTAGTCCATCTGATCATTTGTATGGTGATTGGGTGGCTTCTTTGGTGGTGTCCCACCTGTGGTCTTCATCTCGGTGAGAGTATGAAGTTCTTGACAGTCTTTCCTCCATTTCCTTTTCCTTAGTAGGGTTTCCTCTGTGGAGGTTATGGTTTTCTTGTCCTTTTTTCTCTTGGCTTTTCCTGGACTGGTATCTTCTGCTGAATACTGTCGCTTCGTATTGTGCGCTGTGCATTGGCGTAGCCGCTGCAGCTTGTGTTCGGGAGTGAATGTCACTTCTGCTATGTGCCGCAAGATCTTTTGTGCGTTTCTCGCCTATGGCCTGCTCATGCGCCACCTGAGCCGTCTTGGTCTTTAGACAGGGTTCTTTTCTTTTCTTTCTTTTCCTCGTTTTTTTTGTGGCCCCTTCGGTTAGGAATTGCTTTTGGAGGGCCTTGTTTTTGTTGATTTTGGCCTCTCTGGATCGGGTGGGGGAGCTTCATGCTCTCCTCCTACCTTCATCTGGTCCAGGTGGTCGTTTTGTTCGTTTGCAGCCTTCTCTTTTTCTGGCAAAGAATGAGACTGTTGGCTTCTGGAGGCATCCATTGGTTGTGGGTGCTTGGTTGGTGAGGCTGGGGATACATCATGTGGTGGGCTACTGGTTCTGTGACTACATGAGGGCTACTGCTTCTGTGATTCTGTGATGGTGGACGTTCTTTGGGTTGATCCGGTTTCTCTGGTTCCCTGTTCCAGGGTTGGTGTGTCTCGGGTTGTCTGCAGTGTCAAGGCTAGCCAGCCTGTGGTCTTCCCTCGTGCCTATGACAATCAAATGTAAGCTGCTCTCACGGCAGCTTTTGGTAACATGTCGTAGGTATTCGTTTGGGCACGGGGGTTTTGGTGGTCGAACAGGGTCCTGGCCGGCAGGTATCTAGTGTACGTTCTGGTTCCTTCCTGTCAATATGTAGCTTCAGTGCACCTGTCGTGGCCGTCTGTCTATTCATCTTGAGACCTGCAGTGCTGTTGCCTCCTGGGTAAGTCCCTTATTTTTCTTATCTTTGGGTAATTAGCTTTACGGAGCCTATGGGGCTTCCCACAGAAAACCAGTTAAATGTAATAAAACACTATTTTCTAGGTGAGCCCCAAAGGCTTCCTGACACCCTCCCTTCGGTGAGTTTTTTTATTTTTTCATCGTTGAAGAACTGGTCTGCTGGCTCCCCCTTTCTCCCTACTGGGGAGGGGGGGGGGGTTTGGGCAAACGAACGAAGTGCTAGTTGCATGAAAGGTTGCTTATTTGGTTTCTTTCTAGGGCAGTTATTTTGATCTTTTAGGATGCAGATTGCACAGGTTAACTAGACAGTGGTCTGTTTTGATTCGCCTACCTTTCTGGGTCCTTCCCAGTTCGATGGCAAGTATGACATACTGTAAATGTAAAGTGTTCATAGGCCATTGCTCCACGTGCCTCTCTGAGGGGGGGGCCAGGTTCTGGCTCGTGGTCCCCGGTAGCAAAGGACTCTTATGATGATATATACTAATATAGGACTATATCAGTTTGGATAGTTTCAGGGAGCCTCCGAGGCTCGCCCAAAAAATGACGTTTTGTTACATTCAATGCTGGTTTTTTCAATTTTTGAATTTTTTTTACATCTTTGGGCCTTTTGAGGTAACATCACCCATTAACCAATTGATCTGAGGTTACACATGTCTAACATGTGATCAAATAAACCTCTCACATCTGTCATATCATGTACATATAAGAACAGTGAAAGAAATATCTGTACATAGTTTGTGATCACATGTTTGTGATGTGTAACATAAGATTAAGTGGTAAAAGGGTGATCATATGTATCTTTAAATGGTCAATTCAATAATTTTATACAATAAAACAAAGATGATTTTAATAATAAAAGTGTTCTTTCATTTTAGGTGAAAGTATGTGTGTGGACCCCATACGAAATGCTGTCAAATTCTTTGAGTCTGAAGCGGTAGTGGAAAGCTACACGCACGACAGTGTCCGTCTCTTGTATCTCGCTCAAGATTATGACTCTGAAGAACATCTTTCGATCTTTATCACTGAAATTGACGGGTACAGATCATGAGTAATTTTTTAGATTCTCTTGTGTGCCAGTCTCTTTTAGGACAGTCTCTTTGACAGTGAGGATGTTTTTGGTTAATATTAATTATAGATTCTTAAGCAGCTTTTACTCAGTGAGAGAACTATGTCTACCTTCTGCTATTAACAGCATTGTCTTAAACAAAAATTTCAAGTTTCGTCCATTTAGTGTTTCTCGCATGCAAGTGCATTAAGGAGACCACATATATGCTAGTAATGGAATCACCCAGAATGTTGTTGACTTGGTTTTACTATTGTACATTGATGTGTCGGTTAATTGAAGGTGTGGTTACAATTGTCCTGGTTAACAAGTTACTGGTAGTTATATAATAGTGGAATTATTATTACTAATGGTATCCTGCCAGGTTATACACAATCACCATGTATAATTGTTTGTGTACATCATATGTTAGTACAAAAATTCAACACAAAAGGTGCAGACTGTATTAATTGTTAATACTGTACAATTTTATTATTCTTGAACTCAAACATTATGTCAACTGTTTTATTATTGAAACAGTACATCCATCATTAACAAATATGCACATATTCACAAAACTGCCAGTGATCTTAAAGAACATATTTATTGGCAAAATGTGATTAGGTTTCTCAATCACATTTCACTTTTAATATGTTCCATGTTGCAAAAGTTACACAAGCCAAAGTTATTTGATAGGTGCATTATGTTTAGTGATTGCTGTAGTCCTACTGTTACTATCAGACTGGCTGATCAGTGTGTTAGTTTGGTGTTTTAGAGAAAGTCAGTTATTGTGGAGGAACTTGTGTGTTTAAAGCACAATACACCAAAAGTGGGTGTATTGTGCCCATTATTATTTTTATTGACACTGATGGCAGTTTTGGCCAACAACTTTCGTTCCTGCAGCAATCAGTAGAAGACACGGTACATAGACAGGGTTGCTTGGTTTCACATAAAGTATAATATAATTCTCATTGCATTAAAACTTTAATGCAATGAGAATTATTAAAGCTTTAAAACCCAAGTGGCACCAATGTACATGCCACACCAGTCATGTCACATAACATGCTGGCAAATAGTTGCACAAGTGTGAGCATGGTTGTTAGTCATTAAAACATAACTGTCTTACCACTAAACTTACACTGCTCTACATAGTTAAGTTAAATATCTTGTTTAAATTTCTTCAAATAAATAAAGTCCATAAAATTAATGATTAAAATGTTAACAGTATTTGATGCCTGTGTAGAAATGCAGGGTAGAATATATAATGATGGTTGGTATTTGTCAAATGCTGTTAAAATCTTATAATTACAAAGGGCATTTTGTATATTATAGTGGTTAATTATGCAAAAATACATCATACTGTATAAAACTGTATTATACAGTATGCCAAAATTAATGCATACTGTATAATGCAGTATGTTTGCCACAGATTGTCTTTATGAAGCATTTGGTATTTTGACTTCTTGGTTGAGGCAAGACAGACATATTATAGTTAGTTGTGCTCTTTTAGGCATTCGTCCAACTTTGTTAAACTGGCAAAGCTCGGCTTGCTGAATAAGCTCACTTGTATTTTAGGCTCTGGGAATTTTTTGCAATTATGACAAAGTACTGACTTGTATGAAATATATGAATGATTACATTGATTACATAAGTTGTCATTTAATGTCTGTCAAATTTTAATATATATATATATATATATATATATATATATATATATATATATATATATATATATATATATATATATATATATATATATATATATATATATATATATATATATATATATATATATATATATATATATATATATATATATATATATATATATATATATATATATATATATATATATATATATATATATATATATATATATATATATATATATATAATATGTGTATGTATATATGTATACATATGTATACATATGTATAAATATACATATATATATATATATACACACACACACACACACACACACACACATATACATGCATACAGTGGCACCTCGACATAAGAGTGCCCCTACTTACAATAATTTTGAGTTACGATGTAAATATCATCAAAAAATGCGACTCGACATCCGATGGTGTCATCGACTTCCGATATTTGTTGTACACATTTGGGTCGACTGAGCGCGTGGTTCCCGGTCACGCAGCCGACCTGCCTCAGTTTACTACAGCTGCCCGCTTAGTGACGATCGCGCCCTTCGCTTTTGTGGTAATTTTTTGCACTTTGAACATTAAAGTAATTATTATATATCACGCCATGAGTCCCAGGAAAGTCAGTGGTAAGGCTCAACATACGAAAACTCATGTAAGGATGATCATAGAGCAGAAACAAGAGTACAGAATGTCTCTTCCTCAACAATTAAGAAAATGTGTGCAGCATGGGAAGAATTGCAAACCTTTGCTGAAATGACTCGCCCAAATAAAGCTGCAGTAAGCTGTTGCCTTAACCTATTCAATGACACTGTGATGCATCATTACAGACAAATGTTAAAATGAAGGGAAAAACAAATGTCTCTTGACAGATTTGTAGCGAGACAAACAAGCACTGAACCACAACCAGGTCCTAGTGGTATTCAGGCAAAATGTAGGAGAGAGAGAGTACCCCAGAGAAAACATCACTGCCTGATGTGATAATGGAAGGGGACTCCCCTTCCAAACAGTAACAACTCTCCTCCTCCCCCTCATCACCATCTTCCATACGCCATCAAGAGCCCTCCATAAAGGTAAGAGAAACTTTGGTACTGTATTGTAGTTAGAAAAAAACATTGTATTCAGTATAAAATGAATTTGTGTGTTAATATTTTGGAGGGTGGGGAATGGATTAATTCAATTCCCTTTATTTCTTATGGGAAAAATCGCTTCGACTTACAATATTTCGACTTATGATCCGTCTCTGGGAATGGATTAGCATCGTAAGTCGAGGCCCCATTGTACATACATACATACATACATATACGTACATATACATACATACATATACATACATACATATACATACATACATATACATACATACATATACATACATACATATACATACATATACATACATATACATATACATACATATACATATACATACATATACATACATACATATACATACATACATATACATACATATACATACATACATACATACATACATATACATACATATACATACATACATATACTGTACATACATATACATACATATACATATACATACATATACATACATATACATATACATACATACACATACATATACATACATACATATACATACATACATATACATACATACATATACATACATATATATACATATACATGCGCGCGCACTCCCACCCACCCATATACATACACAGGGCACCTCGGTTTACGAATTTAATTCGTTCCTGGAGACGGTTCGTAACTCAAAAATTCATAAACCAAAGCGAATTTCCCCATAAGAAATAATAGGAAATGAATTAATCAGTTCCTGACTCCCCAAAAACTTGACTTCAAGGTAAATTTTATACTTAATTCACCTAAATCATCACTACAAAAGTATGTACAAGTATGTACTTAGCTTTACTGATGACTCTTGTTGGCATATGGAAGACGGTGAGGAGGGGGGAGGAGGAGTCTCCTCCCATTATAATATCAGGCAGTGATGACTTCTCTGGGGTACACACTCTGGCACATTTTGCCTGCATACCACTAGCTTCTGGCTCACTGCATGATTTTCTCATTGCTTTTCTTGAAGATTGTTTTTCCCTTCTTTGTAACACTTGGCTGTAGTGAGACATCACATTGTCACTAATAAGATCAATGCAATGGCCTGCTACAGCTTTATCTGGGTGATTCTTTTCAGCAAAACTTTGCAGTTCTTCCAATACTGCACACAAATTCTTAATGAGGTAGGGACATCCTCTACTGCCTCCTCCTCCTCCCCTGAAGATTTGTTATACTGCCTAGCTAGTTCAACAACACGTGTACCATTTTCATGTTTACGAATGATCTTTTGTTTTTCCTCTATCGTCATTCTCACATGTTTTCTTGCCTTGAACCTTACCACTGGCTTTCTTTGTACCCATGGCGAGTTATATAACAACTTTTATGCTGAAATAGCCCAAAATCCGAAAAAAAACTGTAAATCCTTGCTAATAATTCAGGTGGGATGGTCACTGGGCGCGAGGCACTGGTAAACTGAGGCGT